TAAATGCTTAATATGCTAATACTTATGTGCTCTGAAATGTATTCTCTTCAGGAAATACTGAGTAAGCAACTCCTGTTTTGTTCAACTGTATAGAACTTTAAATAATTAAGCTACCCTTCCTCTTAGGAAATACCAGAGTAGTCACATCGGGACTTCAAAAATTTATAGCTGTCTTTTTCTAACTTCCCTACACCTAATCTTTGCATTGAAGTAAATTCCTCCCATTGCCAAATCAGAGTTTTTTTAAAAAAATCAACCTATCCTTTCTGCTGGTAAATTACATTGGGAGATTATGACATAAGAGTCATGATTTATGCCCCAGATTAAAACTAGAAAATTACATTAAGGTCTCTATTGTCTATCTGCCCTACATACTGACAAATTTTTGTAGTTGCTTTGGCTAAGTAACTTGTCTATTCAAAAATAAAGAAGAACCTTATCTTTGCTATTTGTATTCCTTTTCCTGCTGCCCACACCCTCACAACACAGAGACACAAGGAGTGCATTGCCTCCAGCTTCTAGGTTATGATAGGAATCCCATCTGCCCCCAAGTCTGTGAAGTTCTGAGCAGTCAAGCCCTTTTGCCTTCCAAGAAATATAGCCCATCTGGTCCCAGGCACAAAACATAGAAAACAAAACTACATATGAAGATTGTTTTTCAAACCTTCAAAATAAATTCCCCAAAGCATATAGTCAGTTTATAGAGTTTCATTTCCCTCAAGATGACTAAAGCAGCAAAATGCTGTGACATCTTTAAAAAATTAACTTTTATAGCATTTTTGTTGTGATAAAATACATATAACAAAGTTTATATCTTTGCCATTTTAAAGTATACAGTTCAGTGGCATTAAGTACATTCTCTTAATACAGAAAATGCTCCATTATTTCTGTTGATTAAAATCCAGGTTGAATGCAGAAAGCTATACCTCTAAAAAAGGTGTATCTCACTGCATGTCAATTCATCTTCAATAACAGTGATTTAAAACAAAATAAAAAAAGACTAGTAGGAGATAGGAAGGGTGACATCAGGGCCCAGAATAATGGAGAGAAGGGTATAAAGGTAGAGATGGGATTTTATCATAAGTCATAGAACACTTGAAGAGTTTGAGAGGGCAGTTGCATTTATCACTCACAGCCAACATGTCTGAGCATCTATGTTTCAGACACTGTCAGTCACCAGAATTGGTCAGCCTGATTAAAAAGTTCATTATAGCTGCAATATTAGTCGTTGTAAGGCATAGCTATTGGCTTTTGCTATTATCTAAGCGAAAAGGTCTAAATTAGGGAGTAACAGAGGGACAGAGAGCAAAGGTTGTATGGGTGTTACCACCATGAAATACTGATGCTATCCTTTTGTTCCTCTTTTTTAATCTCTTGAGCTAATGGCTACTTTAGCTTGAGTAAATTTCATGTGGCACACCTTACAAGTCACAGATTGTGTCAGCAACAAAGAATCTGTGATACAGCTAACCATATGTAAGTGGAGCTTGACTTAATTTCAAGGCAGCATGGTGAAAATGGTCTAAATAGATGAATGCCATTTGGTGGAATATTTATGGCTTATTTATGAATAGAGAGTAAGTTCTTATCTCACAAGGCTTTCTGTGGGTACAAATGTACCCACAGTTAAAAGGTAACTGGTAGTTTTATTCAGCAGTAGTTCAACAGAGCATAAGAAACCATACTGTGAAATACCATGCACTAACTATACATATTAACAGGGAATGATCTCCCAAATACTGTTAAATAAAACATGAATTGCAGAATGTATTACATAGGGTTTGAGATGTGAGGGGTGACAGTGGATGGAGCTTTCAGTTTGTGTCTCATGTTGCAATAAGAATAGTGCCATGTATTCCTTTTACAGAAAACCCCAGCCTTATAGGTTACTGTATCACTTGACTGGACTATTACTGTGTAAGCTTATAGTTCTTCCCAACAAGTGTTAATGGTAATTCAAATTAAACAATGCTCCTCATAATAACAGCTACAGAGACAGAGTGTATATGTATGTATGTGTGTATACATTTTTAAAAGATTGTCAAATTGCTTTCAGACTACATTTTTGGATGAGAGGTATATGAGACAAAATTTGAGATGAAATATACTAACTATTGTGAAGTGTTTCTCTGAACTACAGTAAAACCATTAAAGAGAAATACATAATGTATTTAAATTTATTCTCACTCAGTATATAATAAGGTAACTCTTAGAACACAAAACCATTCTTTGTAGAAGAACAAATCAAATTGCAACAATCTTTGATCTTTCAATTTAAGATACACTAAGATAGCCTGCAAGTGGTACATTCCCACTTTCAAAGTAATATCTGAAGTGCATGCTGGTGCCACAGGAAGTTATTTGACAATAGTGGACACTCTCTGAGTAAACATTCTCACCATCTGATTTCAGACAGGCTTTGTTATTGTTGGTTTTAAATTAACGTCTCCTAAAAATACTAAATAGAAAATTGGGAACAGGGTGATGGGGACATTTTATTCTTTACTTCATAATATTGTAAAGAATATTTTAAAAGACTTTACAGAAGACCATGTAACAACTCCTATTCAGCTATAATTAAAAAAAAAAAACAACTTAGGAAACTCACATACAATTTTCAGGGCTTCATTCCAAATTTTTCAGACAGACTAAAATTGTGCCTCAGCCCACTTGAAGTTAAAAAAAAAAAATGACAAGATAGTAGGTGTAAATGACTAAGAAGGGGCAGAAGGATGCTCTGGAAAGTGAAAGGGTTGGAAGCTTCATGTAGAATGTCTTGATAAGAAGTCTAAACTATCTATAATTTGCTGATTGTGAGGAGAACCAGATTATTGAGAAACCTTGTGAAGTCAACAGCCACAGGAATTTAAAATGTATGTGAAACTTGTGGTAACACATGGGAAAAGGGACTGCAGTAGTATTTTACTTGAGTCCACACACTATTATCTATGACCCCAAGTGACATTGAGGAGTGACTCCTATCAAAGAGGCAAAGAATGCCACAGGAAGAAGACACACATCTTGAAGTCCCAGAGGGAATTGCAAATGAGGGCAGGGAGAAGACAGAAACTGCAAGACCAGTTACACATTACCTCTGAAAGTTCTTCCTTAAGGGTGCCCTAAGTTATAGCAGGAGTATAAAGGGGAGAAAATAATATTAATAATGAACAACTATATACCAGAGACATTTTATGGGGGTGTAGTGGGGAATAGGATCAAAAATGGAGGGGGGCAGGTGTGTACTGGACTATGGTGATGGCACATGGGTGATGTGGTAATGGGAAGCCCACGGAGATTACAACTGAGATGGGAAAAGGCACAAAATGATGTAAACATAAACTATTATATTATTAAAAAAAAAAAAAAGGATGCCCTGAGTTAATATTATAGCAAAAGACAAGCAATCATCAATGTTTAATTTTATATTCTGAATAAGACAGCAATCCATCTCTAAATCTCTCATGATCCTGTTACAAATTTTTTTCCTACAGATATGATACATAGGTGTTTAATGTATCAGACAGGAAGTGTCACACAAAGAATTCCTTTCAAATGAGGAAGAACTCAGCCCTCAGAACTTTAGTCAGATTTCTTTTGTTTGCTTATCACATTCTTTAAGAATAAGGCTTCCCTTGGGCCACAGGGGTTTTGCATGAGCCTGGAGGGGTTTGCTGTTTGCATATGTGGCAGAGTCTGGTACACAGCCGGGTACACAGATTACCTGGTAAGCTGCCTTTTGTGCCAATTAGAAAAGCACATTTTTTTTTAAAGTGGGTTCCACTATGAGAATTGGAGAGACAGGAGCTATATTTCAGTCCCATTTACTCTTTGGCTGGGCAGCCTTGTGTGGTGCACAACTCCAGAAAGTTACTTGCTGGCTAGCAGTTAAGTTACAGGCTGAGTGACACCCACCTATGTATCTGGCCTGAGTGGTTCAATAAAAGAGTTGATGATTTGATAAAGAAACAGTGACAATTACATTTTGTGCAGCACTTACTAAACTATCTGAGCTGAGTATTTTAAGGAACCATATGAAAAGCCACATCAAAAAATTGATTCATACCTTGTATATTATTTGTGCCAAGAATTGTTTGTTCACTTTAGAAAAGGAAAAGAAATCAGACACAAAATAATCCCTAATTGGAGATATTAGCATCAGACATCATTAAAGTCACTTTTCTACTTCTCCATGCAATCACTGCCTAATTTCTCTTTTCTAAACACATTCAGAAATCTGCCCACCTTAATGACCTTTATTTCAGATGTTCTTAAAAAGGAGTGAAGAGAGAGCTGATATTTCTGCTGAGAGCAAACATCAAGGGCTTTCCCCCTTTTTGGTGGGTCTACCTCCCCACCTCCAGTCCCTCAACAATCACGTTTATTTTGATTAATTGAATCAGCATCTTGAAAAAGACTTGGCCACTAAACATGAACTCCTTGAGATATTATAAATTACCTCATTGTACTCTCTCGACTCACTCCCACATCCTCGCGTTTAGGCAATGGGGTCTCAATACTCCAAAAGCAATGACTGATGACTTAGCAACCTTGCAGATTTCATGAGGGGTGTAGTAAGAAATCAGGGTTTGTTCACTTTAGAAAAGTTGCCCAGAGAGATCTCAGTAACCGCCGAGAGAGGTTTGAGTAGCTGCTGCCCACACTATCTAGCCCGAGCCAGAGGGTATGAGCGACAGCCTGGTGATATGCAGCCGAGAACACCAAAGAAGAATGAGGGCCAGGAGAAACCCAGAAACAGGAACCCAGACGCCGTGGAGCAAGCAGAGAAATGGAGGCGGCACAGAAAAGTCAGGCACAGACTCCTGCCTTGGGGACTCGCCCCGAGGAAGGCCTGGAGGTAGCTCAGTTTCTGAGCAACATGTCTATCACAGTGGCACTAATTTTACACTCACAGAATCCTTCTATGAAATTACCTGAAATATCTAAGGAAGCTCTCTAGGAAAAAGTCTCTCTTTTCAAGGCCAAACATAAACCTTTCTTACCTCAATAATGTAGAGGACCACATTCTTGTAGAAACAGTACAAAATGCACTTGGTCACCCGATTGTAGCTCCAGGCACCATGAACCAACAGTAGTTTTTCTAAGTATGAAAACTGCAGAAGGAAAGGAAAAGGGTTAAGAAGAGTCCATCGTCTAGAGAGAAAAGTCCCAAAACACTTCTGAGAAGACAGAAAAGTCTCAGAGGAAAACAGATTCTGCAAGTAGTCTGAGAAATTCACTAATGGCAGGGTTTTTGAGTCAGTAAGACTTAGAAAATCTCTGAAACCTACATTATCAATATATGGAGATTGTTATTTCCAGAAAATCCTATTTATGCACTTCTTTTTAGGGTCTTAATTATTAAAGAATTTTAATACTTTAATGACATTGTGGATGGCAGAAAAGAACACTGTAAATCAGACATCTCTGTTTCATCACAGGCTTTATGGTGATAACAGGAGCAAAGGACAAACACTCTGACAACAGTATTCGCTCAAAGTGGACATAACAAAATTTATGACTAATTTCCATGGTCTTCCTGCAGGTTAAAAACAACTTGCACAGAGACATACAGATAAGCACACATATAAAGATTCACAAATACCCACAAACACACACAGGCACACAGACACACAGACACCCAGAGACAAATACATATAGACACACACACACTGACACACGTGGATTAAAAACACAGACGCAAACCGACAAATGCACGCACAGATGTAGTAGACACAAGGCAGCCTCCATTTCTCTGCCCATTTTGTTCTCCTTTTTTGCCTCCAACTAGTGCAGAGCACCTCTTGCCAGAGCACTATGCAATCAGGATAAACAAAAATCAATGAGAAACTAACCCATCCTAAGCTGAAAATGATGTAATGACTCAGACAGTTTGAAATAACACTCCAGCAAAACATATGAACCATCTTTGAAGCAGAGTAACACTGGATACCATTCAAATCCTATCTCCTCAGTCTCCCTGGTTTTGTCTCATGTACTATTTCAGGAAGATTCCCAATAGTGTGAACCTGGAGCTGGAAGAAGGCAGATGAGTAGGTTTTGCAGACTGTGCTGTAATCCAGTCTGAATGTACTATTAGGGACAGCCCTATTTCAATTCATAGTACCCATATATGCAGTTTTCTTCATGCTGGGTGGCATTTGCCCTTGTTGTCCTGAACTAAGTCATAACTTCTTGTTCTTAGTCACAGGGCAGGTCACAAATTCAAGCCCCAATGTCCTCCTAAGAGAGAGAATCAGGCTGAATTGAGAAAATCCACAAACATATCCACTGCAAATGGATTCAATAACTATTTGCTACTGCTGACTTACTTCAGATCACTTTTGAAATGAAATTTAACTATCTATAGAAAAGACTTTGAAAATAAGTACTTGTTTTAAAAATCTTGTTTTCAAGAAGGATCCACATAATAATTTCCACCAGTGATAAAGGAGAAGTGTCACTACCACTCACATTTCAGTGAGTTCTTCAGAAGATTAGGGTAAGGCAGGTTACTCACTGTGTATTCCAACAGCCAAATGACGACTTCAAAATGGCAGGAGGAGATGCATATGGAAAAATAAAACTCCCCATAAAGGCTCATTAAGGATTCCAAAGGGGAGTGGGGAATCATAAAATAACTAGCTAAACAACAAAAAAAGGAAGTTTGATCTGACCTGGACCCCCGATGCCTAACTTCAAGGGTACAGAGGACATCTGCTGGAGTCATCCCAAGAGCCTCCACTTTAGTGCTACAATGATTTGTTTTCAGGAGGAAAAAAGGATCCTAAATCAAATGCTGCCTTCATGAGGCCATTCAAAAAAACATTAAGAAGGGTGGGGGCAGGGACGATTCTTTCCTAGGACAACAGGCACCCGGGCTAGCACTGCTCTGGTGCTGCACAGGCCTGTCAGGCCCAGCGGTAGCCCCTGCAGGCAAACACAAGGCTGCCAGAAAGCTATGGAGCCACAGTTTTGCCTATGACACCAATTCCCTAGGGTAAATTTTCGAGCTAAGTTTTTATTTCTATACCTAACCCTACAGAACATTTTCCTCAAAAACCCAATCAAAATTCTATTCAAGTATTGACTGCAACCAAAAATATGATTTCATTAGGTACAAAGGAATTCACAAAGTTGTGGCATCTGCCTCTTAGTAATTAAGGCTGAGGAAGCATGTTGTTGGGTGGAGAGAGCAAGGAGAAGGAAACACTACCCTAGAACAACGGGATCTTTGCCTAACTCTGAACAGGATCATGCACAGGAGAAACGAAGACCCACAGACACATGAAGCCCTTCATCAGTCCCTTTGGCCAATGTAACTATTACACTGGATGGACAAGAAAACTCCTAAATCAAGTTATAAAGCCTCACTCTCCTCTCCAACTTCTTTGATGCTTTTAATTTGAAGAGAGCAGTTGCTCCAGATTCCACATCTTATTAGTATGCAGTTTTAATACAGCAGGTCATAGAATCTCCTTCCCTAGACATTTTAAAGAAAAAGACAGACAAATATTTGCCTGGAACTCCTAGGAAACCTCTAAAGATTCCTTCCAGCCTTATGATGCTATAACTCAAGTATTTAATAATGCTGGGATGTATAACATTTACAGTTGCTGACAGACTACAGGAAGCATAAGTCCCATGGGCCTTGGAGTAGTTGACTGGGGAAAGCAATGTGGCAGGTGTGCAGGGATGGTCCCCATGGTCTGATGTTCTCAGAACGTGCACACTCAGGCAGGTCACCTAATGGGAAGAAGTTCCAGTTTTCTCACCTGTAAAATAAGAATGTCTTCTATCTGTGCTCAGCAATTATCTTGAGACTTTACTTGAAATCAACAAAGGAACAAGATTGATTTCATTCACTTTGCAGAGCATGAGGATTTTGTAAATCCTGCCTGTGTTTGCAGAGCCACACGCTAGGAGGGAATTTGAGAGGTGATCTAATGCAGAGCACCTCCTTTGGGAAAGTGGAGCCCCAAAGCTGCAGAAGACCAGCCCATGGCCCTGGGGCTATTAAAAGTACTTTCTCATTCTATATGCATTACCTGATTTCAGTTTGAATGGAGTGAAAGCCATCATTACTTGTGTTTATGTGATTAAGGTTAACACATTCTTCAAAAGACTAAACACTGGAAAAACACAAGGGATTCTAGCCAACCAGCAAATGAACAGCCATTTAATCACAACCTACTGCAATTTGAAGACAAGAGGAAACTATCAGTGTTCAGTGTGATGGCTACTTCCTGGATAATCTGTCAGGCCCAATGATCTAGAAAGTATCTAAAGGGTAAAGAGGTTGGCTATTTTACTTTATTTTGTGATTGTCATTAGGAGCAGATAATTCTTTCATCTGTCTGGTAACTACAAAGTATATCAGGAATCTATGCATGCAAATTTCAGTCCAGAGAAGAATGGGCTGAACTTGGTCTAAGTGCAGAAGGCTATGGGTACTGCCTATGGGTAACTATAAACTAAACTCAACTCTTGTTTTCAGTAATTCATCTCAGAGCAGTTGGCTAGGCAGAATCCTGGTCACAGCTCCAGAGAGGCTGGTGTTTGATAATCACTGCTTTCCTCAACCTGATATGCCTAATGAGACAGTATTCCAGCACCTTCTGAAAGAGGTGAGATGCCGGGGTTGAAACTGCAGAGAATAAATGTTATAAACACAGCTGTTTTTCTGGCACAATATGGCATAAATAAAAGCAGATATTGGAGTTAAGGATAAGAGATTATTACTCTAGAAGGGTCATGGGCCATCTAGTCTTTCAAGGAATGAAGCCTTGTTTGGATGACAGAAAGTTCAGCCAACCCCACAGCTGGCCAAAAACAAACAAAACCCAAGCTGCAAAAGATCAAGACTACAGAGAAATCTAAATGTACTGGTGCTTTCATTTAGATGCAACATTAAAATGGGTGGCAGCGTTATTAGGGTTGAAGTAATAGTCAAACACCAACCAAATTTTCACATCCAGCTGACATCTCTAGCAACAGAATAGGACAACTGGTCAACCAAGCCTCTGACCTGTGCAATGGCATAGTCCGAGTTGTTGGTCGCTTGCATGCCTTCATTCCCACTGATTCCCACACCCACATGGGCTGTCTGAATCATTCCAACATCATTGGCACCATCCCCGATGGCAAGGGTGATGGCCTTTACCCGCTTCTTAACCACATCCACTATCTCAGACTTCTGTAGAGGAGACACTCTGTAAGAGAAGAAAAGGAAATTATGATTATCCACAAAATAACTGCAATGTACATTTAGCTGCATTAGAGGGGTAGATATTGGATAATTTCCAAATTCAATACATACATTTTATGCTTATGTGCAAAAATTTCAGAAAACAGTAGCTTGTAGCTTTCAAGTTTCTGCCAGCGTCAGATGAAAAACACAACTCAAAACTAACTCAAAACACTTTTTTCAAAAAATTTTATGGAAATCCCACTGTTTGACATCCTATTTGTAATCACTCTGCTCACTTGGAGCCTAACATGAATTCATAGGGACATCTGTGTCTTCCTGAATAATAAAGGCAGTTAAGCTAGATACAACAGTCTTAGGAAACCGAAATCACTCCCTAATAAATCAGAAAACTAGCCCAAGTCCATTTTGTTTTGATGTACATCATACACTGGGGAGTTTTCTATGAAGCCTGCTTTAACAGAAGGTTAAGAAAATTGGCAGGGCTTGAGAAATACAGAAAAAGCACTAGAATGAGAGGAAAGAAAAAGACTTTTCCACCTCCACCCAGAGTTTGAGACAGTGTTTGAAGGGCAGCCAAGGCAGAAGGATTTGAGAAGAGGCTTCACAGGGGGAGGAGGTCAACTAAAGCAGAACTGTAATGAGCAAAATTTTAAAGGAGAAGGCAGCCTTAGCCCAAGAAGGGTTGTTTCCACAGAAATCAAAAAGTACGCTATTTATCACAAGGCTTCAAGTTGTCTGGGAAGAAGTCTCCATAAAAGTCTATGTGGGACACAGCAATATTATAGATTATAAGATCAGAGAATACAACAACATGATAAAACAATTGATACCTCAGTATTACTTATTTTAACTTCTGAATTGGTGAACTGATATTTGGTTTGGGAAACTGACACATAAACTTTGAATCCCTAAACACACATATACACAAACAGAGCAAAAGACCTTTCTAGGTTTCCCAAGAGTTTGTAGGCAGCACCCACAGAGATTTGTACACTAAAATGGAAACTCAAAGACTTTCCAGTAGAACTAAAACCTCTCTTGCAGCCTTCAACTCATACAAACACCTGTTTCTAACAGAAAATTTTAATTTTACCAGTTCTGGAAAGAAATGTGTTGAGTTAGACAAGCAAAATAAATGCACACATCTTCTAAGATTCTTTGATCAGTTACAAGGAAATAAAAATTAGCAATTAGGAAAATACAATCCAAGAATTGAAAAAGTTTCTTTTTAGAAAATCTTTTTTAACAGCGATTTTCAATGATAGGAATTTACTGTCTTCTGAGGCGGTTGCAAACATTAAAAATATTACTACAATTTTTGTTGTTCATAAGCATACTTAAAAGTACCAATTCTGCTCTTTGTGCTAGCATAGAATGACTATAACTATTCTTTGAAAAATTAAGAATAAAAATACCACATCCTCCTAAAGCCCAGTTTCTACAGGCTAAACAGTCTCAAATCCCTCAACCAATTTTAATAGGCATGCTTTAGAACTTAAAAATAGCTTCTATGTATGACCTTCTCGACAGCTGAGAGTAGAATAAAGAGAATCACCACTTCCCTCTAGCAGATGACAGATTTAATTGTAGCTTGAAGTGAGATTACTGGAATCTTTACTACTGTTTATTATTTAGCTTACTAAACATAAGCAATTTTAACATGCAGAGATATGAGCTGTATCTATTCTAAGTTTGTACAAACTTTAAATTACTCTCTCATTAAATTTTTATTGGCAGATGTAGCTCACAAGTCTAATTTGCTATGCAAATGTGATTTCTCATGCCATTTTTTAATCTGGTGGAATAAAAAATCAAATGTGATATAGAGAAAACAATCTAGTATGCAGGGTTAAATAACTATGCACTTTCCCTGTGTCACACACTAACTACTTAAACAGGAAAAATAATGCTATGAATCCTTATCTTTTCATTTATGAAACAGGTAAAATGAGAGTCACCCACCTTACGATTTTGATCTATTCATGTGAAACCATTATATTGACTAGCAAGTGTTGTCTCCTATCCCACCTACAAAAATCTCAATTGTTTGGAAAGAAAATAGAGATTGAGAATTATGTGCCATCTTACCCATGGTTCTCAAATTGTGTTTAGGTGTCCTCAGTTGCTACAGTGGGAAATATAAATTTTTAAGGGGGAAACAGCAATATCTTTCAGGTAATGGTACAAAATACTAGTTCAAGGAAGCTCACTTTTTCAGTATCAGATCATGCTACATTTCCTTTTCATGGTATATATTCATGAAGCTGAATTTCTGTGATTGTATAAGTACAAATGCCACATAAAAAATAAATGTAGAATTGTAAATGAGGGAGACTATTATTACTACAAAATTTGAGAAGCTGTGCAGTGCTTATCACATGCAACCATACATATCATCAGCAAGTGATTTTGGTTATTTAAAGAAAAGAGAAGTTGAATTTTTCTCAATATTACCCATTACTGTTTCAAATGTCTGCTAAATTGTTAGGACAAAAGTAATTCTTAAATTGTTTGACCATGTCTACTTATTAGTTCAAAACTGTTCAAAAAAATTTTTTTTCCTAGGGAATCTGCAATGAAATTACTGAGACACTAGGGTTCCATGAACCCAGAGAATCTTGTAACCTCTACATTCACTACTTCTCTTCATCTTTTATATTAGTTGTACTTCAAACAACAATTATTCACTTGCTAAGGTGGAATTTCACCTCCTGTGCCATCATTCAATCTCCAAATTTTCTTCTGCTTCCACGAAGCTATCATGCTATACTGAAAAGACACTTAAAAAGCAAAGAGGTCTAAGAACTAACTCCATGAGATTCCACTTGTCACCCAGCTAATCAAGCAAGTTGGCTTCTTTATTAGCAAATCTGTTGTGGTCTGTAGAAAGAGCCTCAAGGGGAAAAGGAAGTCTGTGGGATAGACAGCTCAGCTGCCTACATATCACACTATGCAAAGTTGAAAGAGTTGTGGTAGTGGAATAGATTCCTAAATAAATTTAAAGTTTCTTTGAGGTTGTTAATGTTCTTGATGTTTTGTTAGGTGGTTTAACAATAAGTCAGTCAACATGAGACAAGGAGAAAATCAATATACTCACTACATTTGCCATTCTGGGAACAGGATCTCAAGTAAGCAGGGTCACAATTCTAACGATTTAAAGTAAAATCTATAAAAGTCCAACAGCTGCCTTTTCCCAAAAAAAAAAAACAAAAATAAAGAGAAATAAAGAGAAAACCTGATGGGGGTTTACAAACCAACTTATATCCCAATGTTTTCAAGCATGAAATTCTCATCTTTTTTTTTTTTTTTTTTTTTTTTTTTTTTTTTGCCCTCAGCTATAATGCCTTGAGAAATATTTCTAGCGTACACTAGGGGTTCAAAACAGATGTCAAACAGCTAATTTCAACAGAACTGATTATACACCATTACACTTTAGCCATACATATTACTTTAGTTTGCCAGATTACCACAATGCACAAACCACCTCTTTTTTTAATCTTAATTCATAACCAGGAATCATGTCACACATATTAAGTATTTCCAGAATATAAAACATTCAACCTGTTAAATAAAAATCCCAGCCCATATCTAAGCCTAATTAGGTGTGTAGGACACTTTCATAATCTACCTTGGCACTTAATGAATAAAAATATACAATCAAAGATATTCATCAACTAGATATTCAATCTAGATTAGCACATTTTGAGGAATATGAGTTCCTGAAATTTAAACTATAATGCTTAATTCCTGAAATTAAAATATAATGCTTAATTAAAACCTTGACAACTGCTTTCATAGAATTAGTGATCATGCACTAAGTTATCTGTGTCTCAAACTAAGTCTCTAAATTTTGATCTTGCAATTTCATCTGAATACAAGTGCCTTTCCTTTTCAGAGCTCAGTTGCCCCATTTGTCAAAGCATGGCTAGACCTCAATTTCTGATTTGTAAACTGAGTTCCACTGAGCCAAGGGAGTTAAAAAATTCCACATAGAGACACTCAAAAGAACTTCAAGGAGAGCCACTATAACTTACTAGTTAACCAGATTCACCATTTTACCAATTATATTTACAGACTTCTTTATTGCACAGAGACAGTCCTGATAACTAAAAAGGAAGTTTGAAGATCACTGGCCTGCATTTCTGAGTTTCAGATTTTGATTATCAGAATTTGTAATAATTTGTAATAAATAAAGATTCTGATTTAGAAAGTTTGGGGTAGAGCGCAAGAATGTGCACTTTAACAAGCATTCAATTGATGTTGATGCTTGTCTGTGGATCAAGTTCAAAGCTTGACCAGGACAAGATCAAAGCTCTCTCTTATTCAAATGTTTTAATTAGTTATACTTATATTATCATAGCACAAGATACATATAAAATTTTCAAAAAGTAATATTTAACAAATAATTAACAAAAACATTAAGTCAAGCTTTGCATGTAAAGCCTCTTCTTTGACTTTAAAACAATAACTAAGTTTAAAACCTAGGTTGGAATTTCACTTAAAATGTTTTCTACACATAAGAGGATGAGGGGGGAAACATTAAACACGATTAGGAATTCAAGACTCCACAATATTTTTAACAATGTAGAAACCAAAAAGATAATTGTATTTCTATTTTCCACTGACTTAAGATAACATCCTTCTTAAAGATTTCTTTTATTAAAAATAATGAAATATTACATTATACTTTATTTCTTGTAGCAGTTTGGATTTTAGCTGTTTCAATATTAAATGAAAAATAATATATAAGCACAGGACCACACAGTTTTACAAGTGAGTTCTAAGCAAACCTTCAAAGACCTATCCTTCTCAAATTCTTCCAAAGTTTGAGGAGAAATGGATGCTTCCAAATATATTTTAAGAGGCTAATGTTACTTTGATATCAAAATTCAGACAAGGACATCACCAAAAACAAAAGGCTACATATCAATATCCCAATTCCCATAGTGAACACACATGTGAAAATCCTCAACAAAATCAGAGCCAAAAAATTCAACAAAG